TCATGAGTTCGCAGCAATACGCGAGAAAGCTTATTTTGGCCGCTATCCAGCTCTCATCCCTTCACACGCCCTCTCGGTGGCAGAGATCATGGGTCTACGGACAACTTGAACTCAATCCCTTTGAACGCGTCGATCTTCTCTTTTTCTCTGCACTCTCTCGTCCGCATCTATGGCCGTTGTGACTTCGCTCACTCCAGCTTTTCACCGACTATAAGTAGCTCACCCACCCCGGAGTCCCCTCCCCTTGAAAAATCCCGTTTCCTGGCTCGCCATACGTTTTTTGCACGTTTCGATGCTTTGGCAGCCGCTGCCCTCTATCCGTCTGCGTCACAGGGTTTCGTAACAGGACCATGCACAAAAGTTCAAGATGTCACGTAACCAGATCATGACTATATGTTTAAAGGCAGTTGCACGATAAACCTCTGAGAAGAGTAGGATTAAAACGCCTGGCAGGACGGAATTCCACGTCCCTGAGCTGGCACTGCGCAGCGCCTCTTCCAAGGAGGCTCCCCTTATAAGACCCTATCAAGCTGCAACATACCCCGGACACCCACCGCGCCCGCCCGCCCACAAATGGACGACGTACCTGATGCTCGTATTGCTTCATTTGCGAAGTAAAATATGAAATGAAGGGATTGATATGAACAAGCTGCGATGTTGCATGGATATAATAGTACACACGTGCAATCGCCTACCGTAGCGACACTCGGCACGATGCCCACGGGAAACTCGTCCGAAATTGCTTTTCGAGTCACTAGGAAAAAAGCTTTTCTCCGGATTTGACCATTTTTTCGTTTTTTTTTGCACCATATAGTACCCTGCTAGCATTTTAGAACGAGCATTGAACTATCGTGCCATATGCCTTTGAGCAAGAACATCGCCTTACGTTAAGTAGTCTTCTTTAGTCCATACTGATGGAGTTTTAATGAATGAACTATGCACGTTTTGACGTATCTAATGTTTTCAACTGTATTTATTTTTGAAATTTTTCAACTGTAGTTACTCATTGAAATTTATTTATTGCAGGAATTGTAATATCAATATGAATTCAAACTAATTCGAGCTTATTAAGTACTATAAAGCATCCTCTTTTGCTAGTCTTTCGCCTCTTTGTTGCTCACACATGCAATTGAACCGTGCCACATCTGCCTGCAATCATTTGTTTCGAATTATTTAAGGGCAGTGGCACGACAAGTCCACAACGCGTGTAGGATGAATATGGCTAGCACAATAGAATTTGACGCCCCTGAGCACGCGCTGCGCAACGCCTTTTCCAAGGAAGCTCTCCTTATAAGACTATCAAGCTGCAACATACCCCGGACGCCCACCGCGCACTCCCGCCCACAAATGGACAACTATACCTGATGGTCGTATCGCTTCATCTGCGAAGTACAATACGAAGCGAAGGAGCTGATATGAAGCGGCAGCGGCGCTGTGTGGAATGAGCACGTACGTGCAGCCTTATCTACCACAGTGGTAACTGGCACGATGCCAAAGGGATAGTCCGAAACTGTTCCTGAGTGGAGCAGAGGCTTTTTTCAGATACTTCTGGTCGTTCCACTCCGCTTTTTCGCCATCTTCCCCACTATAGCACCTCTGCCACCATTTTAGACCAGTGCCAATTTATCGTGCCTCAAGCGTTCTTCATAGGTGATGCGATCAAGTAGGAATCAGACGTTCTGTGCTCTGTGCCTTTTTTTCTATTGAGAAGGAAGATTACCTTAGTTATAGCTCCATAGTTCTCGCCTACACTGAGTATTGCCCGATATATTGACAAATACTGCTCGAACGTCTGTACAGCGAGAGCACGACACCGTCGGAGACACAGAACCGCCTAATGATTGTCGAGTTCGGACAACACTATAATTCATTGCGAACGTTCCAAAGAACATACCTGATAAACGTTGATGGGCAGCCCATTAGCGAGGTCCTGCAGGCACATTTCTAGTGCCATGAATGTACCACTTCTACCAACACCGGCTGAACAGTGAACCACTGAAAAAGTTTTTGAGAAATTCAAAAAAACCTTCACGGACATGTATCGTATCACTTACCGACCGCTGGCTTTCGGCGCACTTCCTTGAGGAGGTTTAGCAGGGTTGGCTCTGTAGGTGCCTGAATCGCAAATTTCAGAGAAAGCAGTTTTGGTTGGCACATCTGCGGACGCAATGAGGCCTGGTGTAGGTTTGGTGTGTAGCATTTCTTCTCATCAGCAAGGAAGTGAAATTTAGATATGGTGGCCTCATCTAGCAGCTCCCCATACTCGCTGTAGGGAGGCCGTTTTGTCCAAAATGGACACACCCCCTACTACTTGTTCGACGCTCTGTACTGGGTTTCAGTCCAAGAAGCCGAACTGTATGCGAAAGTAAGGTTAGTCCTTTTCACCTCTAGCTATTGGATTCAGGAACTTTATCTCTCGATATTTTCACGAGCCCTCGCAGCACCCATCAATTCGGCAAGCTTTACCACAAAGAGTGTGAGGCCAAGATTGAGAGAAAAGGACCAGTAGCACTATTTAATCAGCTTTACTTCTTCTACAACCCAGGGTCTAACTCACTGGATTACCCCAGAGAGAGATCAGAGCGAACAAAAAACTCATGAGCTCTTGTCTCTCAATAAACGTGGTCCATATCTACCCCTGTGTTCACTATCCACTTTGTCGTGTATACCGTTCGTCGCCCAGCGACACTACCCCACTACACTACTTATCCCTGAGACGGCGCAGGCATAGCATATGAACAAGCATAGAATGCGTATGAGATATTCCAGTTTGAGAAAAATGTCATGTTGTGCATGGTGAGGTGGGTTTGTTAGAAGTTGATAAGTGTTGGACAGAGACATAACCACAACTATGGTAAAAAGGAAATATTTCAGCAAATAAACGGTTACCGCCACGTTTAGTTGAAGTACGCAGCCACTAATACCACATCTCAGGGATTTCGAGTGTATATCGTTACGGTTCGCTGTCGTTTGCATGAGTTCTAGGATCCTTGCTCCCACGACATATTGCAGAGATCAGTCACTCCTTCTCCGGTGAACTCCACTCCAGAACGTACCAAGGGCAAGAGAGCTCATTTTCGACTGACTGTGCGAAGCAACAATAGAGAGAGCGAGCTGCGCAACACCTACCGTCCAGTCCTTCCAACCTCTCCAATGATAGTGCTTGACTAGGCGCGACTCTTGTAAGTACTCGACTTCAAGTGTTGATATAACGATAGTATCTTGCCACTTCCTCTCCTTCAGTATAACGTTCAGTTGACCATAGCTGATTCCCATTTCGCAAACGCTGAAATAAACCATTTTCACTTTAAATTCACCCTTTTTCAAACCAAATTCACCCTTTTTCAAACCAAATTCACCCTTTTTCAAACCAAATTCACCCCTTTTCAACCAAATTCACCCTCACTTTTCACATCAAATTAACCACACTTATTAGGGCGGGCATCATCAACCAGATCACGCCAGACATCACTGCGAGCCCCGCCCCGACGGCCACGCCCACTTGTCAGCGCGGACATAGATTCTCAAATCTTGTTTCATAACTTCTGCTTTTGCTGTTTCCCACAAACACTTTGACTGGAAACCACCGGGCATTGACACATGGCCGACTCCGCCCATTCTCTAAAGGGTTTGGCAATCTAGGCTGACCACGCCCACTTGCTTTTCGCGGAATTTCGATATTTTTTCA